AATAAATATGATATATATATATATACCCTAAGCCTCCAAAGGCCTAGTTTAACGGGTGCGCCCAAGTAAAGGGCGCAATTAACTCAATCTGGGGTGATGCTGGCTTTGGCTTGATACATGGAGGGGGTCGATGTTGGGATGTTGGGTAGTATTGTCTTAGTATTTTGGGTTTTGGAGACTAAGATTTTGTTGGCTTAGATTTTAACCCCCCCAAAGCCCCGGCAAAGAGCGGCAGCTGCAGCCATCAACACGAAGACGAAGCGGTGCGCCCGCCCCTTTTTTTAGTGCCTGCTTGCTGCATTCCGATTCAAGTACTTCAATCTGGAGGGGCGTCGTAGTGAAGCCAAACGATATCGCGAATACAGGGTGATTGACTGCTCCACGGATTTCTTGTCACATCGTTGAGCCACACCTGGGCAGGCAATGGTATGTATTATTGAACATATTTCGGAATGGGACAACAGTTCGCACGATTCTGGTCCAGTCGTGGCACTCTTTAACCATCGCATTGCGTCTTCCTCTCGAAAAGTATGGTGGTGTCGCGAGTTCATTCCTGCGATGCAGACCATGTAGTATATTCGGCTGAATTGGCGGCACTACAACACAAGCATGTGCAGGGTTAACTTTGCCAAGAATCGTCGTGATTTGATGTCTCTCAGCTGGTGGTGAAATGCCTCAGCAGGGGCACGGTATCGTCGGATATAATGCATCTGAAGATCGCTGCTCATTAGTTGCAGGCCAAGCTCATGTACTTTTGGGCGGATTTGCCAGTGGAGCTTTTGCATCCTCTCACTTTCACATTCAGGGAGTTATTGCACTCGGGTATCGAACAAAATAGGTAGATCAGAAATCCCTTCGAGGCCTCATAGACATCTTGCAAAGCAGGACGTGGTAGCGGAGGTATCGCATACCGTGCTGGTAAATCTCGTTTGCTTGTTCCTCCGACCTCAGAGGGAAGTAGTGCGGCCGTAGTTCCCAGCAATTGAACCTTGAACCTCGTACCCCTAAAAGCTTGTCGCACCCGAGCAGCAGGTACATTGGGTTGCTTTCGACGGCGAGGAACCATTGGCAAAGCGATTGCCTCAGAAGAACTAGCTTTGAGGTTTTCGGGTTTCGGGTGTTCAACTCAAACTAGTTTATAGGGCTTCAAGGGTGTTATCGAAGGGTTTGCGATTGAAGTGTAAGGCTCGGGTTGAACACCAACAGAACTATTAATATACAAAAAAGGTCGTGACTTGCTACCCGCATTCAAGAATCATTGCAACACATATGGGTGTGAATCGCACATCATCGTCATCGGGCCAAGGAACTCCTTGCGTTTCATGCCTTTCGTGAAGCCATTGCCCAAACGTGCGGCCCTCGCTGGTGCGATGCTGTGTAGCCCGCTCCATGCAATCACCCAACCACATCGTGATCACCCGGCCATTGTAACCCTTGTGTGCCATGTGTGCCCCATGCTTTTCTGGCTTCCAAACCTAGGCTTGACGACAGATCTTGTGCACTAGAAAACAAAACCTGTATCCAAACGAAGTACTCTTCTTTCAAGCACAGCCAAGTGACAAAGTTTGGCACAAATTTTCCTTGCGAGCAGACCAGGTCTCGCTCCTTCTGGAATTTCTTGAAGTCACGATATGCGATTACCAACAGCTTGTGCAACGAGTTGACATCCGGGTTGGGATCTCCGAAGTAACCATTCTCAATCAGATACATCCTCGAAGAGTGTGTGTGTGTGTGTCCGAAAGCACACGTGACTTACAATTTGTCCTATAAATGATTAGCCTACTTCACAAAGTAACAATGTTACAGGTCATACAACCAAAGATCAAAGTAGATCCTGTGGCATCTTGTGCCACTCCGAGGTTAACATTGTGCAGGCTGCAGTGACACAACATGTGGAAATCGAAGCATCGAAGTCCCAACAAAGGACCTCAGGCGACCATTGGCGTAGAAAAGCAAGCTACGAGGAACCAAGTAAGTAGGAACAATATTAAGACTGCATAATTGCGGGCAAAAGCACAAACGTGGCTGTCTCGCATCTCATGCACCACGAAATGATTATGTGAATGCTGCGTCTGCGCCCAGGATGGATCATCTCGCAGATCGGCAATGGAGTGCCGGGCTTGGGGGTGATTCTCGGCGTCACAGCGCCAACACACAAACCGTGTCTTCCACCAACGACGGAGCCTCCAGGTCTGATAGTGGTATTCCCAGTCCCCCTTCAGCTGCGTAACAACGTATTTGTTGTTCAACTTGTTGCCTTCAGGCGTCAGACCATCAAAGGCGGCGTTCAGCGATTGCATAATTGCAAAGTACAAGGGATTATGGCTTTTCCAGCCCAAACTGAACTCGTTGTCAAGGCTCCATAATAGCCATTGGCTCATCCTCGTCGATTTTGGCCGCCAAAGCACCATACTCAAAAAGCAGCCTGTCACTTTGCTTTGATCGAACCCTGTGCCGTATCTAGCAGTGTCACCGTACAACGTCAAAGGGATATGGCTTCCATCCAAATCAGGATGGCGAGCCCACGGGCAAAAGGCTTTGCAATGAGACCAATACTTTTCCAGAGCACCATGTGGGATCTTGAGGCCCAACTCATCCACTAGGTAAGTAAGAATGCGATGTGGAAGTAGAACGGGAATCTTCACAGCTACTTCCTCTTCGGAGTCATGCTTTGCTTTGACCATCGTCGTCACATAAACGGGTTCCTGCAAGTTGGGTGTTATATAAAAACCAAACTAAATAATGAATAAGTTTCGGGTGTATAGGTCGTATAGATGGGCTCGGAGTTAAGGCTAGGAGTATACCAGGTTTTGGGTTTGGGTTATGGTAGGTTTTAGGTCTAAGGCAATAGGAGTGAAAGGATCCGTGTTATTTAGTAACTTTAACCAGGCACCACAGGAAGTTGAACTGCTCGTTTGAAATCGCGAGAATTGTTTTTCCCACTGAAGGAACCCATCTTGAGCAACGGTGCGGGCACGGATCCAGTGGCGTCCTCGGCCACAGAACTTCAGAAATAGGATCTTGGGGTTTGGGGGATTCAGGCGAAACTTGAGATTCACAGGGATCTAGGACTTAAGGTTTAGGATGACGTAACTCGCGTAATGCAGCCGGGCTTCCGTAACACACGATCGGGCACTCTTCATTTCGCGGTCAATGGAGGAGGCCTCAAGTTTTTGTCAACCACTTCATCATTATGCATGTATATGCGATGGGTTTAGGGTTTAGGGTTTAGGGTTTAGGGTTTAGGGTTTAGGATATAGGCATGGATTGCGATTTCCATACATGTTGTATAGAATAGAATGCCTGATAACTAGGCAAGCAGCAGCAGCAGCAACATTGTCGATCATGTCATACACCATTTCGGAGTGACTGGATGATGTCCTGGAGGGTAGACCTGCGGGCAGGGTGGTTATTAAGCATGCAAGAGCCCGCGAATTCCCCGGCACGGCTTTCACTTCAGGATTTTCCCGCCAACTACGGTCTGCACATCTAAAGCACACGACAGGATTTCCCCGTCCCTCGTGCACCAACAGCACAGGCCACACTAAATGGCGGGTTCGCAGCCGGCACTAGATGTCCCAGGTTCAGGGTTTAGGGTTTAGTCGGTAGTTTAGTGTTGTGTAAGCAACTGGGTAGAAGTCAAACGACTGGGGCACGTAGTGTAGAATCTTAGTAGACCTTACATCCAATGCCGACATGGCATCATCTACTCCACACAGCATGTGCACCCCGCAGTTTCGGAAGTAGCTACTGTTGCAAGAGCCCAAGACCTTTAAACATACCTACACTAGTGTCCTGATAAGTATCCACCTGGGGGCTGTGTCTCGGATGAGCTTCCTACTTGTTCGTGAAACTCTTCTTCTTGCCGTATGCAAAGACTTGCTGCTGCATCTTCGTGATCAGCTCCTTGGAGGACTCAGTTGTCGACAGCATGCGAGCCTCCTCACGGGAAGCTTCGATATGATGTATGCAGAACCCCTGCCTTAAGCTCCATAGCAACCCAGATTGACGATCGAAAGAAAAGCTCCTCGCTGCTGTCCACAGCGGACTGCAACTCCGCTCGCGAGGCGGTCAGCCGGGCGATGCAGTCGTCCAGATCCTTCTTGAGGGCCGCTTGAACATTCGTGCTCCTCAGATTGAAGCAGGATGGGGTCGGGTTATCTTTCGGCTAGATTAAGATGGTCTTGTTGGCATACTTTTGCTCAGCCCGAAACAGATCGGCAATATCGGCCATCTTGTTGTTGGTTTCCCGGATGAGTCTGCTGAGATTACTGATGACCTGCAAATGCATTGGAAATCTTGCATTCAGTTCGGGGTTTGCTTCAGTGGCACGGGCCTTGTTGGCCTCTTGCTTGACTTTCTTAATCCTCTCCTTCTCTGCCTGCTGCTGCTCGGTCTCGTCGTTCTTGTTGTTATTCTTGTTGTTCTTGCCTTTGTTCTTCTTGGATCGCTTGTTCTTGGGATCCTTCTTCGGCTTCTTGCCGTTCTTGTCCTTGCCGCGCTTTTCCTTTTTGTCTTTCTTGGCCTCACAGAACTGTGCTTCAAGAGGTTTTCAGATCATGATTTAGAGTGCAGCAAAAGGCAGAGAGAGAGAGAGAGAGAAGGTGAGGGAGAACGATTCTGAGAGGGAAGGAGAAACGTCGATCCTTGGTGCTCTTCTTGGCCGGCGTGTCATCATCGTCGTCGTCATCGTTATTGTCGTTACTGTCGTCGTCCGAGCTTTCGCTGCCCGATCGCGGGGCACCTTCGTTCGCTCGGAACATGTCAGTGATCTCGTCCATATCCTCGTCGGTATGCTCTTCATCCACCAGCACAAGGTACTGAGTCAGTCCTGCGAGGGAACTTTGTCAATGTGTGCCGACGTAAAGGAGCATGCAATGCACAGACAAACAAATCGGCAACACCCAGCGGTCCCGGACAGTCCGGGTGGTCCCGGATCTCGGTTTTAGCCAAGTAATCATCCGTTTCCTTGCGGACAATGATGGCGTCCACGATCTTCGGGTCTGTGAAGTGTGCGTTCAGCTGCGTGCGGGTCAACCAGCGACGGATGCCCCGGCGTCCGTTGCGAGTTGTGCTTTTGATACACTTATACACCATGCTGTTTCGCCAGTCGCCGACACTCGTGAGGAAATCTTCATAGAGACTGCTCATCTTGTGCTTGCCTTCGAATCAATTCATGTAAGACAATGCTACACTGATGTCACGTGTGTATACATGTCAACGAAGCATGCACGGATCACTTGCGAATAAGTTGCAGTACTTCGACTTGTCAAAAGCCGACTTGATCTCACCCGGCGTGGAGCGACCTAAATTAAGATTATCAGAATTGCAACCATGGGTCGAGAACAACAGAAGAGGAGGGAGAGAGAAAGATAAAGGAAAGGGGGAGAGAGAGAGAGAGAGGGAGAGAGAGAGAGAGAGAGCTCCTTTGGCTGTGTGGAAGAAGAGAGAGAGAGAGAGAGAGAGATAGAGATAGATAACAGAAACATGCATAGAAAGTGACCTTGGGAAAATAAGGGTATAATAGATCGATCGATAGAGGAGAGAGAGATAGCAACAAAACAAACAGAACGACTCACTTTCAAACAAGAATGAAAAACCTGAGACCAGGGCTGTGCACACTTCGGTAGAATCGCATGTAGAGCTTGTGGGCTTTCTTTCGCTTCTCGGCTGGTTCCTCCGGCTCCTCACTATCGCCTGACTTGTTGGGCTTCGGCTTTGTTAAGGCTGCCTTCTTGGCTGGGGATGGCAACTCTTCGGCCTTGCGTTTTTTGGGGGAGTTCGCTTTGCTAGGCATGGGCTCTGAGCTGGACCGGGCTGTGCCGCTGTGCTGTCCCTCATCGTCCGAGGGGGTCGGAGCGGGCGGTTGGGCTTTGGCTTTCCGCTTAGCTTTAGCTTTTGCTGCACACTTGGCTGTTGCTGCTGCTTTCGGCTTTGGCTTTGCCAACGACTTTGGGCTCGGCTTGGAGGCAGGCTTCGTGTCTGCGGTAGCAGCGGGCTCATCTTTCTGAGTTTCATCGACATCATCAAAGGCCTTTTCTAGCCTCTTTTGGCTAGTGTTGGCATCAGCCTTCTTTTCCAAGGTTGGCTTCTCCTCATTTGTCTGTGTGCGAGCAGGCTTCGCCTTCTTCCGCGTGTCGCCCGACAAGTCCTCGGAGCCTCGCTTGTTTTTCGGCGGGGGCGTCTCCAGAATTGTCGCCATTGAGTCGGTACGAATCGGTTGCTTCCCAGCCTTTCCAGTCTGGAAAACCTTCTTGCCCGGTGGAGATTCGGAGTCTTCTTGGGGAGAGCTTTTCTTGCCCGGTGGAGACGTGTTTCCTTTGGGAGACTCGTTCTTTCCAGGCGGAGACTTGTTCTTTCCAGGGGGAGACTCCTTCTTTCCAGTGGGAGACTTCTTCTTTCCAGAGGAGGGAGGCTGAGGAGAATCTGTCGTTCCAGGGAGCGAATCCTCAAGGTTCGGCCACGGGTTCTGGGCGTCTTCCTTGGAGCTGTCGTAAGACCTGAGCATATGTCAAGTCATGTTGCTTAGTCCGGACCACGATGCTGTATGTGTTTCTGAAAGGCAACAAAGGACCCAGCCACTGTCTGGATGGCTCCGACAAGTCGGACTTCTTCTTCTGTACCCGGGCATCCCTTTCACGGGCCTTCTGCAAAAACTTCTCGAGATCTGACTTGGCCGACATAAGGCCAGATGGGGCACACAGCTAGCTGCTACAAGTGGCAAGAAGACCTGTGGTGCCCAATCACAGACCAAGTTGCGATCATCGAAGTCACGACAGAGAGCAAAGCAAAGCGTAAAACACCCTGTTGGGTTTATGGTCGAACTGCTGTGTTTGGGCTTGTTTTTTGGGCAACAGAGTTTCACAGTTATTTGGGTGCTTTTCACGGTTTTCACGGTGCTTTTCACGCTTGTTTCACGCTGTTTTCACGCTAGTTTCACGGCTAGTGGTTTTCATGAGACTGATAAGAAACTTCAAGAATCTTTTTTGTTGCGTGAAAGCCACAGCTCTAAGGTGCGGTGGTCTGCACGGAGCTACTGAAGCAGCTGCTGCCAGCCATCACCTTCCTGGACACTCGGCTAAATCAGATGACAACGACTATCTAGCTCCTGCATGGATGGGACGAGAATTGCTAGAAATGCTCGAACGGTTAAGACTCCAGTGGTAATGCAGGGCAGCACTAGTCACGGAAACGCCAGCACTGGCACATATCGGCCGTGCTCAATCTCACTCGAGAGAAACACATGCACCGGGCCGAGATTTGCATGCCTCCATTCGAAAGGAGGCCTCGCCACCGGACGTTTCGACGTAAAAGCCTTGCAGGCAAAAAGAAGAACCCCCACCCACCCACCCCACACCCACCCGCCACACCCACCACCCCGGCCACCCCCCCACCCCCCCCCCACCCACCACCCACCCACCCACCCACCCACCCACCTACCCACCCACCCACCCACCCAACACAAACACATGCGTAGGGTAACACACATGCACTCATGACCCATGACATACAAAATACAACTCTGTGGTTTCTAGATGTCATGGGGCTGGTCTGGGACAGAAGATCTTGTGCTTGCATCAAACAGGAACAGAACTGGGAACCAGCCTCGGCGAGGTTTTTGACACACCCGAAGAGGTCGCCCTTGTCACTGGCCTGGGCATGCGGAGTCGGAGTTACGGGCTATGCAATATATGTATTATGGTATATTGGAGAATGGTTTGTTTGTGTACAAGCAAAGTATTCCGAGCAAGAAGCCATCATCTCCAGATGATGGGAAGCAACTGCTCGCCCAAATCCAGCAGGACTTAGTTGGTCCAAAGCAGAAGATCGCTAGCACACAATTTATGCAACATGTTCTGCACATGCATGACTCATACATGCACTCGCTACTTCTATACCATCTATCTCCCCGCCCTATTTTTTTTGATGTTCCTGCTTTATATGTCTCTCTCTCTCTCTCTCTCGTTCTCTCTCTCTCTCACTCTCTCTGTGTCCCAAATAATCGCTTTCACCCAATCATTCCCTGGCTCTGTCGGTGCCTCTGTCGCTCTCTCAACACAAACAGCTTTGTTTCTTTCATACATATTCATCATTCACTCAATCACTTTCGCTCTCTCTGGCTTTCGCTCTTCGTGGATCAACTCTGTTTCCCTCACACCCACTCACTCATATGATCTTTCTTTTGGGGGGCCGCTTTCGTTCCAACGTATTCTCTCTCAGCCCGAGGATGCACTGGGGGCGGCTCATGACTTTCTTGTCGGAAAGCGCCCTGGATGAAGAGCGAAGTTCTCGTTTCTGGGCTTTCGTGAGTCGCCGGTTCATCCGAGGCAACCATGACCTCGGAATATCCAGAAGTTTGCATATAGTCTATCTAAGGGGGAGTTCAGTAAGCCCCAGACGAAGTACCAACCAGGGTCGTGAGCTTGGGTGATGGGTGGCCGTAGCTCGCCATCCAACTTAGTTACTCGTAAGCAGGGTTCCGTGTTCCTACTGCATGTTATTGCAATTGGACAAGGCTGATTCAAAATAACTAGACTGGCTGGCTCAGCCTCTGACAACCGGCAAGCATGTATCGGAATATAACGACCGCAGGACTCCTTAAGAAAGGTCAAATACGGGAACTCCAGAAACAGCGAGGTCGTCGGCTTGATCCACCAATGCACACATCGCATAGATGCGAGGATGCACAGCAAAATTGTCCGGGTCGCATACCTGGGCTTGGCTTTGTAGTTTAGGATTAAGCATGTCTTGGGGTTTGAGGTTTAGGGTTCGCGTTGCTTCTGAAGACTTAACACAGTTTGAGGCATACTGGCCTGAATAGTCAACAGAAATAACTAGCAAGCCTCCAAACCCCAAGTCCTAAACCCCAGACCCTAATATGTGCAACCTAAATGCTCCTCGGCTGCCTTGACATAAGCGAACTTCGTCGTCCCAAAAATACGATACCGCCGTCTATCCGAGGTGGCTCTTTTCACGAAGGCCCCGCTCTTACAAGGAAGGCCACAGCAGAGGAGGCCGGATTGTTTGATCTGTAAGATCTTTCGCATCGCACGGACCAGGCCGGGCCTCTAGCACACATGCTCTAGAATCTTAGGATATTCAGACCATCACCTAGACCGTAAGTGGCCGGCACAGACAACAGATCGTCATCTGCCCGGGTGGTCACATCCAAGAAATCCCTGAAGAATCTTTGAGCTTTGGAATGCTTCGATGAGCTGAAACCATTCTTGCTGAGATCCTCGCGATTTGTATCCAAGAGCACCTTAATTAAGTAGGGCAGAGGTCTTAATCTTACAGCCCCCTATGATTTCCATGTATGTTCGCAGGTTGTATTTTCTATGTCTGTTGCGACAAACTACTAGCAGCTCAGGGCGAGGCTAAAAGCACTTTCTGCTGCACGTCGGCCGGTTTCAAGATCCAGGCACACTAGATCCTGGGAATCACTGGGCTGTGTACATTTATATCTACAGAGATCATTGTAGTCCAACACCAAGGCTCCGACACGATGCAGATTTTGTCCCTCTGCGTTTTGGGCGATATAGTCCGCGAGGTGTAGCCTGATCCAAGCAAACTCCCCAAGGCATTTCCGAGCGTTTCACACCCAACAAATTCGGGCTTCACTGACTATTAATCGAGCAGCAAGATGGTAGGGAAGCCAGCATAAGCCAGTGCCAGCAAACAATCGCGAGAAAGGGCCAGGTCATGATTCATCCAGTCAAGCATATCCCTAAGAGCCACCTAGGCAGGACGTAGTAGCGTAGCTTGAACCACCAGACTTCGGATATAACTGAAGCCAGGCTCAAGAACCCTCGATGCTTCGACTGCACGTAAAGGACAGAGGATCACAACAGCACAAACTATGCAAGTGTTTCGATCTCGCGCATGCAAATCTACACACACACTGCTCGCGGATCAGTCAAAACCGCTCGTCCTTTAGACACTGGATCAGGGTCTCCCTCGACCCCAGTTGGCCACGTGGCACGATGCTTCCCACCTAGGTCCGAAGCTGAATCCCGATCCCACATCGAATCAAGCCAACGGGGCATGAAATGTGCCAAGCACCAGGCGCTTGGGCCAGCGACTCGAACTTGTTCCAGCCGAGGCTCGCACCCCCCTTCCGATTGACCTTAAAAGGCTCTTTGGAGGTACAGGGTCGAGTCTTTGAACGGGTAACTAGGTGCCGGGCTTCGAAGTCACACCCGTACTTCTTGTTCACTTCATTCAAGCGTTTTGCATCCGCTTTGTTAACGTAGAAGCACCCAGAGTATGGGGAAAACCTGGTCAACGATGAGGTGTGTTCAACATATTATCCATATATCTCAGCACAGAAACTGATCAAGGATCGATTGAGGAATGGGCACCGCTCCAATCTTGGATTTGTCATCGGTCAGGGAGATGGTCCATGACCTGGGAAATTATAGTATTGGCAGTTCTGGGGATAGGATATAGGTTTAGGCTTTTGTAACAACATCATTTAGGCTCCCACTTCCTGGCACCGCCAGACAGCACACCCATATCCAACTGCAATCGTGGATCCCTTCGGTGGGCTTCCTCAAAGCGGGGCTTCCAACGGGCTTTCACCTCCGGAGCGTACATGATTTGGCAGCAACCGACGAAACAAATTACTAAGCCGTTCTTTCCCTTCCCCACCTGGCTAAGTCTGTCTCCTTGCTCTGGCGGCTCCGGGCTCCTCTCTGGGGCCTGCTCGGCCTTCTCGCAGGCCTCTTCCTGATACTCCTCCTCGTCCTCTTCCTGTTCATAAACTTCTTCTTCATCCTTCGGGGCACTCTTAGTCTTCTTAGCAGGCTTTTTGCAGACCTCCCGACCCGCCGGTCGTTTCAAAACCCTTTTCCCCTTGCCATTTCCTTTGCCTCGGCCACGTCCTCGGCTTGTTTTTTCGGGAACTGAGTCGGGCGATTTGGGTTCCTCGGATCCTTCCTCTCCTCCTTCCTCTCCTTCTTTATCAGCTTTCTTCTTCCCTCGAAGGGCTTTCCTCGTCTTGACTTGGGCCTAGCAATCGAGTAATAGCCCTGAAACGATGCATGCTGTGACTTTCCATGCGAGGTTTGGATCTTCGTGCAGGCTATCATCCAGCATATTTTCAGCTTTGGCTTTAACAGATTTCGGAAGCTTTTTGGATACAGGCACAAGTCTCTCAAACCAGCCTCCAAAGCAAGGTTCGGATCATCGTTGCTGGACGTGTTCAGCAACTTCTCGGCTTTGTCTTTCACAGACTTCGGAAGCTGCGGGGGAGGGGCCTGTTTCGCTTTCTCGTCCTTGCAACCAGTATCTAAGACTGCCATACGATGCGAGTAGTGTGGGAAGCGAACTGAACACAAAGCCGAAATGTCCTTGAAGGTTCCTCTCGTTTTATCTTTTTCTTCTTCACTCTCGACATCATCTCCCAAGCATTCATCTTCTTCCGGAGCCTCTTCCTCGGCTGCTTCGGCCCCCTCATCCGCGTCGCAGGCGTCTTCGGCAGCTTCGGCATCTTCCTGGAAGCAGCAGCAGCAGAAGCAGCAGCTGGTGGCAGCAGCAGCACCACCATCATATAGCATAGGTTCCCCTAGATTATTTAGGGTGGAATGTAACCTAGACTTCGATAATGGTTATATTGCGGGAAACCCTGGCTCGAAATACAGGACTTGAAATACAGGGGTTTTTTTATTTTGGGTTTACAACACATAGATTAGTTTACTGAAGGATTCTCGCTCTATCTCGGCTAATGCACTCATAGGGACTTGATAATTCCATAGACTCGAAATCCGAAGTCGTAGAATATATTTAGCCTTAATACCCCAGGTCTTAAATACCTTGAAGTCCACAGAAGCTAATCCCGGCACCCCGCACCCGAGCACAATCTACGTGCTGCAATCGAAAAACTTATGTAAAATCCACGAATCATCGAAACTTATCCTGACCAGAACCCTTCGTCTTTAGCTTGAGCCCCATAAAATCCCGAATCCCTGCGATTACCAGCATAAGCCCTCTAAAAAAAATATCTAGGTCAGGTTTTATCCCAAGGCCAAATCGCTATTTATCTCAAGGCCCCAAATCGCTGTATCCCTAAGTTCAGGATCCCAAAGATCATCCACTCTCGCCTCTGGGTTGGCGGTTGCCTTCAACTCCTGTGCAGAATGTAAGAGGGGTGACTGCTAAAGTAACTGATTATGTGATCTGATTTTCGCTTTATGAATTATGGGCTCCTTCTTTCGGACTTGAATGATCTGCTTCAGCATCTTCATTCTGTCGTGAGACTTGCCCTTCCTGTGCACATTGGACGGAACAAACACACACACACACACACACACACTCACTCACTCACTCACTCACTCACTCACTCACTCACAGGGAAATCCGAAATTTTCAGTATGGCCTCGTGTCCTTGTTGCGGCGAGTCCGACAGCATGACCAGGAGGCAAATGCTCTCAAAAGAGCTGCTTCCTCTTCAGCCCATTCCTGGATCAAAGAGGAATAGAGCATTGAATGGAGGAGTTGTATTCCATAATGAAATATCAGTGCCTCTCGCTGCTGCTTGCTCAAAGAGCCGTTGAGACGAAAGTGGCCCCCGGCCCAAAGGACCGCTGCCTGGAAGAATCGAAAACTATGTTTAAAGTTTACTAGTAAACAGGTCCTCTCATTTCAGACGAGAACACTGACAAATTCGGCCTCGACCTCCTTCTTTGTGGGGAGGTTCCCCGCAAACGATGAGCAGTAGCTCGCAACAACTTCGAAATTGAAGTCAGATGTCACCTGCTCAAGATTGAGCGAGATCCCCGAATATATTATTTCATCTCGCAAACGGGATCCCACCTGCTCCTCAGAAACCGTGGAGCTCGTCACGTCCAAGAAGCGGTAGCGAAAGGGCTCCTGCACCAGAAGTTGGATAGATCTTTGTTTCTTTGCTTTGAAGTAGGCCGGCCTCCGGATCCTTCTTTTGCTTCTTGTGTAGCTTCTTCAGGCTTTCGATCCGCTGGTTGACATATCCTGGTTTCAAAAGATCCTCGAAAAACTCTTTCAGGAGATTGACTCTTGCATCGTTGGGCTTCGAATCCGGCATTGCCGGGTTTCCCCACAACACTTAGCCACCCCTCTTGAGATTAAAACCTCGCGGGCACACCTCAAGCACACCCAACGAAAGCAGCAGGGCGGGAGCACGGGAGCACGGGAGCCTTCAGAAGCTCCTTGTTCAGCAAGACCTGGACGGGAAGGAACATGGGAAGGCAATTCGCAAAACTGGAACTCCCAAATTGAAAAGATCAGGGCCCAACGGTTCCGAAGGATTTTGCCACACCGAACCACCGGCATGGTTGATACCTCGCGGGCGTGTTTATTAGTGTTTTGACGAACCAGAGTAACCAGAGAAATTCCTGAGATGCACACCAGGAAAATGGCCCACACGAAGGGAGCCACCATGACTCACCGGGCTACGAAGGCTTCGAGAGATTTGTCTTCTGTTTCAAGAGCTTGGCCTTCTACTTTTCCACCCCGGCCCCCGGAACACACCGCAATATTTGCTCATATTCTTTGATTGTGTCTTTACCGGACAATGCATGAACAGCATGAACCTTTGATCCTCGGCGAAAAAAGCAAGCGACACATGTGACAATCAAATGAATTATGCCTAATATCACCGAAATTACGAAAGCACTCGTTTAACGAGTGCGTTTGTCAAGACCCAGTTTCACGGGTGCGCGGAAGTGCAGGGTATATATATATATATATA